CGGGTAAATTCCAAACGGACAGGTACGTTATATAATAACTTCATGTATTTACAGTTTGTAGTTGGTTATAGGCATGTCAAAAGCTTCTCTTTTTTTATTTCTTTTCTTTCCATTTGCAAATCAAAGATAATTTTCTGTGATGATCCAAAATGTCATTTTTAAATTTAATAATTAATTATGTGTTCTAAGACCTCGAAAAGCACTATTTATTATTCCTCTACTTGCGTGCGCAGTCCGTAAGATTTTTCGAAAAGTTTTTTTGTGAAAAATGGAAAAAAATGTGAATTAGAGCTTTAAAACTCAACTGAGTTTACTTTGATCAACATTTTGAGCAAACAGACTCAGATCAGTGTTTTGACAGTTCTGATAGGTCTGTATCGTGAATTGGGACTTGAGCATATGCCCGGAATCAAATTCCGAGGTCCCTAGCCCGAGATATGGAATTTTGATGAAAAATAAAAAGTTTAAGTTCAAATAGTGACCGGATGTCGCATTATCTGCAAACGACCCCGCAATAGAATTTTGATGATTTCAACAGCTCCGTATGGTATTTTGGACTTAGGAGCGTGATCGGAATTTTAATTGGAAGTCCGTAGTGAAATTAGGCTTGAAATGACTAAAATAGGAATTTAAGTTTGGAAGTTTTACCGGGGAGTTGACTTTTTGATATCGGGGTCGGAATCCATTTCTGAAATTTTTCATAGCCTCGTTATGTCATTTATGACTTGCGTACAAAATTTGAGGTGAATCGGACTTGATTTGATAGGTTCCGGTGTTGTTTGTAGAAATTGAAAGTTTCAAAGTTCATTAGGTTTAAATCTATGAATGATTCGTGTTTTTAGTGTTGTTGGATGTGATTTGAAGACTCAACTAAGTCCGTATGGTGTTTTAGAACTTGTTGGAATATTTGGTTGAGGTCCCGAGGGGCTCGGGCGTATTTCAGATGGTATTCGAAGTATTTTTCTTCATTTTGGCACTGCTGGTAGCTGCTGATTTATGGTATTTTAAACCTTCTTCGCGATCGCGTAAGCTTAGTTGAGGCAGTGTTAATTTTGTTCTTCGCGATCGCGTGAGGTCAACCGCAATCGCATAAGTTTGGCAAGCTGTGCATCGCGATCGCGTTGAATTGTTTGCGATCACATAAGGTTAATTGAGGGCTGCTAAGTTTTGTGCTTCGCGATCGCGTGAAGCGGGGTGCGATCGCGTAGCTTTGAGACCTTGTGACTCGCGAACGTGTGAAGAGGACTGCGATCGCGTAGAGTTGGAAATTTTGTGCTCTGCGACCGCGTGAGGATATACGCAATCGCGTAGAGTTAATTTGGGCAGTGGTAATTTTTGCTTCGCGATCGCGTATGGATGTTCGCGATCGCGATGAGTAAAAGCCTCGGCAGAATGTTTAAGTTCTGAAAATGGGACTTCCATTTTTAACGAATTGGAGCTCGGATTAAGGCGATTTTTGAGAGATTTTCAGAGAAAACGTTGGGGTAAGTGTTCTTAACTCAATCTTTGTTAGATTACCCGAATCTATCATTATTTTTAACATTTAATTGATGATTTAAGTTGAAAAAATTTAAAAACTCTCTTGGATAGATTTGAGAATTTGAGGGTCGAACTGTTATTGGAATTTAGTCATTTTGGTATGGTTAGACTCGTGGTTGAATGGGCGTTCATATTTCGTAACTTTCGTCGGATTCCGAGACGTGGACCCATGGGCCATTTTTGAGTTAGTTTTAGATTTTTAATGAAAAATGTAGTATTTTCTTACAGAATTAATTCTATAATTTTTGTTGACTGTATCGAATTAATTATGACTAGATACGAGTCGACCGGAATTAGAAAATCGAGGAAAACAACATACTACTTGATTAAATTGGAGCAAGTCGAGGTAAATGACTTGTCTAACTTTGTGTGGGGGAAATTTCCCCTAGGATTGGTATTAATTGTAATGTGATGAAAGTCGTGTACATGAAGTGACGAGTGTGTACACGGACTAAATGTGAAGGATTATGTTTTTAAATTGTGAAGATCACTATTGCATATTAATTAATTTATTAAATCTTGTTATATTCTCCATCATTGATTTGATTTGTATACTTTAAATTTGCTTGACCTTTTCCTGCTAATTGTTTTACCTGCTTGGTTAAAACTTGGTTTCTTTTATTCTGTGCATTATTTGAAATTGATTTTCTTTAAATTAAATATTATTGATATAAAATATTTGACATTTTAAATTTGGTATTGAAGCAACGCATTAAAGATTTTGAAATATTATTTTGCTGAATTATTTATTCTTGAATATTTGTGTAAGATTTTTGTACTCATTGTGATGGAGCCGTGAGTTCTTTATTGTGGAAAAATATTATTGATGACTTATTTTGGCATAAGCCGTGAGCTCTTTATTTTGATAAAATATTGTTGTTGAATTATGTTGGCACGTTAAATTATTTGAGCACTTGAGGTACAAATTGTGATATATTGTGATATTGATACGCATGCGGTGGTATAAGGTTTGGGTATTGAAACGCATGCGGTGAGATAAGGGTGGCTTGATACGCGTGGCTAGTAGGGGGAACTACTAGAAGTCATGCGGTGTGATAAGGATGGCTAAAACACGGGATGCTATTTCGGAAAAAATATTTTCTTTAAAATAAATTATGAAGGCTCCCGCGGTGAGATAAGGAAATAAGATATTATGAATTTATTTATGATTTGGGACTATGAGGCGGTATCTCAATAGTGCCCTTGTTGATATTGATTTATGGCCATAGTTGCCTTCGATTAATTATTGTGATTTTTATAAAGTTGAAAGGAACTCTGTTTTGATTCCACGAGATATTATTTGCAATTATTTGGTGTCATTAAATGTGAAATACTATTTGATTCATTTTCATAGTCATTTTATCTTATTAAGTTGTTTAAACATTTTTCCATGTCATTATCTATTCTCCAGTAGGGCCTGACCTGACCTCATCACTACTCTATCGAGGTTAGGCTTGGCACTTACTGGGTACCACTGTTGTGTACTCATACTACACTTCTGCACATCTTTTTGTGCAGATCCAGGTATATCTTACCAGTCTAGACGTCAGTGAGTTACCTGCGCACGGAGATTTCGAGGTATATCTGCCAGCGTCCGCAGACTCCGGAGTCCCCTTCTATCATTTTTATGTTGTTTCCTTATTTTTCTTTAGACCTTGATACATAGAGACATTGAGAATAAAATTTTTAGAAGCTTATGACTTATTTCTACCGGATTTTGGGAGT